TCTCTCAGTCACAATGTGACATGAACATAACCATGTCAAATACATTTGCAATTATAGGACTTAAGATCTCTGTATCTTCTATTCGCAAAACCCTAATCTGTTTAAACTAGAGATTCTTTCAAAATCCATATGAATTTCCTTTCAAATACACTGAAAATTTCCTTTCGTCTTAGCTAAAACCAACGTAATCTTGCCTCTAATTCCATCAAATCGTTCTTTCATAAAGCGCTCTAAAATCAAATTCACCTAAGCAACCGGAAAATTTTCAGAAAACGACAATGTTACCTGTGAATTTGACGGTGGTATGGCCTGGATCTGGAACAGACTACGAAACAAGAACAAAAACACATGGAAACTAGATCAGATCGGAAGAATCAAAATCAGTGTATGGACGAGCACACGCGTCGACATACTCATGTAAAACAATCCAGATCGAGAATGGAAGAGAACTTACAGGTACAGATCCAGAGACTTTCTGGTTGTCAATAGTCGAGTAGTTCCCGCCGGACATCATCTTGTTCTCCGATCGTCTCTCTATCTCTCTCTAAGAAACGAAATTGGCCTTGAAACTATACTACTCCGGTCCAACGAGATTTGATTTGATGGGAACTATATGGTAACCTTCTTTTTCATTTAGAAGCATCGTCCCACTAAATGATTATTATATTCTCTATATATTTATTTGTTTTAATATATAACGAAAAAGGTCATTTTGGTATATAACAAAAAAAAAACTTAATTAAAAAGTAAATAAAATGGAGTATATGACAAAATTATAACCATTGGATGTGGGATTTTTGGTTAAATTTTGGATTATAATTTTTTTTTTTGTTATTTTTGCCAATTTCCTTTAACGAAAAGGTTTTGTGTTAAAGACCATTAGATCTAGGTTCATACAAAAATATTGGCCTTTGCAAACTTTACTTAAAAGTATTGAAGATTAGTATCATTTTAGATATTGAGTTTCTTAAGAAACGTTTTTATTACATATAGTTTCCTTTACTCCTACACAGATTCTCACTTTTATTACAACCCCGATTACATAATAACCCAACTCTACGTCTACAAACTTAATCCAGCTACAACCAATTTTTTATATCTGATCTTACCATCAGATCAAAAATCAGAATGTTGTTCTTAAAATGAGAAATATTACAACGCTTGTATTAGTATATTTTCCAGTACAGATAGCCAAACCGAGATCTTTCCTGTGCGAATCATTCATCGAGAACAAAACGCGACCTACCCGCAAAAGCCTCTATCCTTGCTTTGCCTGGAAGCTTGGCGGTAACAAACAGATTTGCGAGTCTCAAGGATTTTTCAACCTACCCTTTGTGAGAAACAGAGTTCTACGTATAGCTAGAATGAGAATCCATGTCGTTGCAGTGATTTTCTCTTTGATCATCAGTAGTAATGCTGAGCTCAGAACTGTCTTCAAGATCTGAGCCTGCAAGCCCTTGAAGAACCCTAACATCCCTTCTTTTCTCCATATGGCATAGACAACACTTGGAATCGTTTTTCTTGTCCTTCTTCTTGGCTTCTTAGTTTCGTTTTCCTTCGAGTCATCAGCGGCTTGAATCATCACTTTGCACCTGCAAAACTCCGAGATATACAGATCAGCAACCCAATATAGTGTCTATATCGGCCACAACCTTCAAATTATGTGACTTGAGAAGTTTATCTGAGATAGATACTTTAGTCTATTCCACATACGTAATAATTCACTACTGTTATCGAGAATTTAACTTATCTTGTCCCAAGGGTTAATACCTGATTGCTGGATATGTGAGGACAGTGGCAACACTTTTGGAGACAGCACCTAATACGAACGCCATAAAGGCAGAGAGCACTACCGGGGAAGAACCATTGTCGACTTTTTCAGTTTTCTGTTTAAGAAGGTGCTGTTTCAGCTGATCGAACACCGTATACTGCAAAGAGAAGCTATTTGTTCATCCAGTCGTGTTGAATTTGATAACAAATTGCCAAAATTCAAGTGAGCCACACGAGTCGGTAGCTCATGATTTAGAATGAGAACTCTACCTGAATTGCGGGATTTGAAGTCAATAAAAGAGAGATCCCTAAGCCATCAAATGCATCTCCCCATGTACCCTCTGTTAAAGTCTTCCATAACCCTTTTGATTCTCCAAACTCACTCGTTTGCATCCTCGACGAAGCTGTATCTAGAGGCTACACAAAGATAAGACTCAAGCCTATTATCCATCGATACTGCAACAAGACGATAATAGCACATTTTGTAGAAAACAAAGACCTTGATTTTTCACTCCAACACAAAGACTTCAAAAAAATTTCAACTTTGACTAAATAAACAACAGACAAAGGCATAACATAGTAAACATGCCTGAGTTAAGACGGAAGTACAAGCCCCAGCAGCAGCAGCAATGAGCAAGTTTGCCTTTGTTCCGATTGATTTAGAACCAGTTCTTTCACTATGCACCCTCTTGAAATAGCTATAGCTATAAAAATAGATAAACTGCGAAACAAAAGACTGCAAATTCTTTGTCCCTAAGCCTTGATACAGCGACAAAATCTGTCGTTTGGAAATTGCTTCCCACAAGACATCTGAAAGATATCTGCATATAACAAGAAACCATTAAAAGAATCGAAGCATGTCTACAAATTCTTACATGAAATTTCCAAACGGAAACATGGAGACACGATTCGAGGAAGAACCTGTATTTCTGCTGACCTCGAGCTCGAATCTCAGCTTGGAACTTTGATTTACATGTATCAAGCGGATATAAGATCGTCGTGCTCAGAAGCGACCCGACGGCTCCGGAGGTGGCTTCCGACACCGACTCCAAATCAACACCCATCTTGTCTGATCGTCCAATCTGCTAGAGCGACGATCGAAATAGAGAATTTTCGCTCGTTAAGGGAACAATTAGGTAGGTGAAGAACGTAACCGATCATATGATCTTGCCTCGGGAGTTTAAACGGCCGTGAAACTTAACGTCGTTAACATCGCCGTTATATATTGGGAGTGTGATCTTTTTCTCTGTTTCTCGGTTTGGTGGTATAGGTATAAATGTATATAATATCGGTTCAATGGAAAAAACCCAAAATCTCACATAAAATTGCAGATAACAAAATAGCGTTTCAAAAACGCGATTCTGTGGTAGAATGTTCACGTTTTCGCGTTCTGCGTCTTAGATGACAAAACATTTGCAAATGGATGAAAACAACACAAGCCAACATATGAAGTTACACACAATAATCCAACAAAAATAATGCACCGTATCTACTTGATAAGCAAATGCGTTTTTCTTGTTCTGCAAAAGAACTATAAACTGAACTTCTCTTTTGTATTCTGGAAAACTTGCTCGGCGATACTCGCATCGAGTTTTACGATCTCTAGGTTAGATTTATGGCAAAGCTCAGTGCCTTTCACACCGTTGGCTATGCAGCTATTGAACCCGATGGCTACAGCTGCTTCGGCTTTGGCCCCATACACCAATCTCTATTCACAAGCAATCAAGAAGAGGTTTCAGAAAGAAGAACATAAAAAGAAACCTGTTTGGCACGAAGAAGTTTTCATATTTCATTTTGTTATGCTACCTTGAGTCTTGAGAGATGGATGGCTCCAAAACACATGGGACAAGGCTCGCATGATGCGTAAATCTCGCATTCTGATAGCTTGATTTCGTTCAGTTTCTTACATGCCTGCGTGTTCCCCAAAACATTAGAAACAAGTTTTTTTGCATTATGTGCAACAATATTCCACAAACAATGTGAGTTAAAAGATACGTTTTCTTGTTTTGTTTTGTTTCTTGAAGGTGACTTACCTCTCTAATGGCTACGATTTCAGCATGTGCAGTTGGATCTTTGTATTTGAAAACCATATTATGGCAGCTCACAACGATCTCATTCTTATGAACAATAACCGCTCCAAACGGGCCGCCATCACCACACTCGACTCCAATGTATGCTTCTTCAACAGCTTGGCTTAGATATTTATGGTCCTTATCACTCGAAGCTAATGAAATCGAC